TCTTCCATCGCGATAACTCCTATAAGCCGTGCCCGTTGACTTCCTTTTGAGGGGTCACCCAGAATCCCGACCAATTAGCAGGTGAACCATTTTAATAGTCCCTCTTCAGAGACATTCTACCTTTCTACCTTTCCTGGTTTGTCTCTAATTCAATCTTCTTTTTTATATGATTTAATAGCCTCCTATACGGTTATTATAAAGGTCCCAAAGAATTTCATAATGCCCTTCCACCTCTCGCGTGTCAATGATTGCACGTGGCATTGAATGAACCTCTTCCATCTGAGAGATAATGGGAGTTCCACATCAGCAACCATGCATATTGCAAGGAAACCTTCTTATGCAACTAATTAACAACAGGTAATGTGAATTTGATGATTATTTCTACCTTAAAAACTTCTGAACTTTGGGGCCAATAATTTTGGGACACCCTGTAAGATCATTGCAATAATAATACATAGCCATGGTTTTTGAATAGAAGTGACAGGATTTATCCCAGAAAAAAAGCTATAATCGGTCAGGATAGCATCATTGCCCGACTTAGGGGCTTCACTGCTTAGACCACGTTCAACGAGTTGAAGAATAACTCAACTCTTTTAAGCAGTCATAAGTCGTAGGCAAACAGGACGGCCTGGACAGGACAAGGATTCGTTAGTTATAGCGAGCAAGTCACTACTCTATACAAGGAGCTTATCACCGGCTGAAAATGGGTGGAGGAAAAAGTGGGGAGGGGGATTAGAAAGTAATAAAAGGCCTGCATTTCGTATATGTTTAATACTATACGTAATCAAAATATGAGTGTGCTGGGCACCGTCTATGGAGGAGCCATCAACCCAACGATGGATGTTCCTGTTTTACAGAGGCGACTACTTCCCTATGCAACAAGATTGATGGAATGTGTGGTGAAAAAAAACGAAAAACAACGAATATTTCAGAGCCCTTCTTCAGATACAGCATGTTTTTGAAACTAAACGAACCAGAAATATAGTACACAGCCGGCCATCCGTAGCTAGAATCACATAGACCGGCCGCAAGAGGATTACCGATAAAGAGAGCTACCTGGTTCCCTGAAAACTCGCTTGGTGATGAACTTAGCGAAAAATCTTTTAAATTTTCTTCCCAGTTTCATACCTGTGGTGAAAAGCGCTACAGCAGTACTCCTTTCATCTATCGGGAACCAGTTGGCGACGATGGTGTTGATACAAGGATAGATGAAGGACTGAAACAGCACCAAAAGACTTTCGACAAGGGTACAGCCCTCTGATGAGGCCCTTTTTGAAGGAAGAAATCGAGAGCTTCAAACGATTAATCCAGTGAAATTATCATCGCATACCTCGCCAGCTCCGAGAATGAACCGTGCCACGAATACAGCATTTGCTCCATGATGTATGGCCAGGTAAGGAAGTAGAGCGTTTATTACTGCCGGAAAAAGGTTTTTATAGCTTTTTCTCACTGCATTTTGTATTCTTGACCAAAAACATAAGGACTTCGAGAGCCAGAATGAGAAGGGGCAAAATGCTCCTTGCAAGAATATATGTTAAATTGAAGCATAATTATTGTGGATTCTTTCAAGCGAATTTTACTCAAAGAAACGATAGAAATATTAAGTAAAGACATGTTCAAATAAATACTCCGGAACGTATCCACCAACTAAGTCAAGCACTGCCTCCCATTCGCTAGGCTAGGCAGTCGGATTCCACGAAGAAGAAGTTTCGATTCCTGGAGGCGATATACGCCTTGACGTCGGCCATCAAGTCTTCCTTTGAAAGTTCTGATCGTTAGCCAATTTTTCAATTGACGTAATAATCCACAGAAATTCCTGTTGGTGAATAGGGCGAGCGTAGACGTTGAGATCACTTTATGACTGTGCCACCCTCCAGCATTTTTCGAAATAAAAGAGCATAATGTGACGTATATGAAGATGACTTTCTAGACATATTTCTGTTAAGGAGAGCAAGAAGGTTACTTCTATCAAAGTTCGAATTCGATATTCAAACTGTAGAGGGAAAGAGGAGAGGGAAAAGAGGGAAAAGAAGCCGCGAAAAAACCGCAATAATTATGCATCAACCTACTGTATTAGGAGCCTTAAGCCTCCAGTTCATAAGATGCGTCCCTACTTATCAGGGTAGAGGCTCTAAGTGTGAGTCTAAGTGTGATTATTGTTCAAGATATGTTGTTGGTATAGTGGCTGCTTCAGTAATCGTAGTATTCTGATGTTTACGTGAAAGCCCGGACTAAAGTCTTAGTCTTTCCAATAACTCATCTTATTTGTAGTGGTAGTGGCATGGAATCAAGGTTAATCTGTAAAAACGATTTAATTCAATTGTATTCCCTAGCAAAGGCTTCGAAATTGATCGGCCTCGATTACATGGCTTCAATAAGGACAAAGAGATAATATTGCATGTCTGACGGTTGAATTCATGGACTGCTAGCAGGGTCATCCCTTTTGCAGGTTTCCAATCGTAGAGTCGTCACAAATTTTCCAGAACGGAGAAGCAAAGGTTGCTCCGACAGTGCGTCCGTTCAGCCAAAGAAGCGCTGACTCCCGGAGCTTCGCGTGTTTTTTTTTACTGCATTTGCCTTTATGCTAACGTAGCTATTACGAGGGGATTGCAGACCAGCAGCTTCAATATCAGCCGGTTTCGGGTAAACATCATTGATAAGAAACTACGACTCGCAGCTCATTGGCGGAATCATACAAAGTCATCTTTTCAAAGGGACATGGACAAAGTACAGAGCCAGCCTACCTTTCTATGCTCGCATGAGGGGAAATTTCGTTAATCCAGTGTCTTATTTATTCACGGACATGCTGTAAGCATGTGAAGTAAATAAGGAAGATAATACGACCATCGAAGAGAAAGGTTGAAAAAAACAACAACATTCTAAATGAACCTAACAAACTGTAAGCCAAATCAATTTGTCAGTAGCTTTCTTAAAAGAGCAATAAATTGGCGGATAACTCACGACGTAAAAGTGGATTAAAGCTCGATCAAGCTCTATAACTGAATAACTGCGACTCAATTTGGGATCATGCTGCCGTGGTAGAAGTCGTAGTTGAGAAGCCCCGCGTATTAGAATGGTAATTGCGAAAAACGTGGAACGGTAGTTGTGCCATTCAAAATTTTGTACGCCATCAGAAGATCGAATTTCTTTCTTCTCCATTTCAGAGACTTTCAACCACGAGGTATTACAGAATAATTCAACCAATGGCATCGAGTCAGAAGTTTCCGAGTGGAACTGTTCTGTACTTTCTCCAAAGCATAAATATCTTTCTTTTTACAGGCCGAGCATTCTAGAAAAACTTCTTAGGACCCTGGCTGATTACAGAAGAGCTTCTATGGACTTCACCGTATCAGAAAGCTGCTCACCTTATTCAGGACACAAAGCATGAAGACAAGTTTCTTGTTCATTCGTTGAACCAAAAAGATAGAGGGCAAAATTGTGGCGATAGAACCCCAGAAAGCGGCCGAGAACAGCAAGTTTTGAACACGATGATTCCATATCAGCGAGCCCTGCAATATTGCTCATTCCTCCCCTCGACTTGAAGCATCAGTTCTATATTTTCTTGGTGCTCGATTAGTTACTCTACACAAGATACAAACCATGGACTATATATCCTCACAAATTCCAAAAACGACAGATCTCAATCACAATCATTTCCATATCAAAAGCTGTGGCAAGGATTCGTTGCTTCGTGAAGAATGGTTTCCAGATCTCATATCAGTCTCAAGAGCAGGGTTTTTTTGTCGAAAGCACAACTTCCAAGCACAGTAGTTTTCGGATTATCATTGGACTATGGACTTTCTTCTTGATTTTCACGTGAATCGCCTGATAGGCGTTCAGATAGGAAATGAGCACAGCACACCCTCACAACCTTTGATCGGCTCTTGCCCCACTCAGACGCGCCCAGTAGAAACGGGTGTCGTGAAAGACTTTGGGTTTGAGCCAGCTTCTATGACCCATTGTGATGGCCTTCGCTCAAGTGTAATTGAGTCGAAGAGATTGGATTCGAACTAATTTATGGCACGTTCGTGTTGAAACTCCAGGTCTATCAGTTATTTTCAAATCCGAGAGTTTCCAAAAAATGCAATAATGTTTCTTGGACGTTTTTTTCTATGGAATACCCAATATAGTCGACTCGATCCGTTTCGAATAGCAGTCTCGAGAAAGCAGAAGGAAAACATCTTACCCCATAGTCGAGTACTTTGCGACCTTCTTTGTTTGTTGAGCAAGTGTCGACAGAAGGATAGTTAATAGAGGAGGTGTTCTGAAGTGACCCAAGGATATCTTCGGTGTCATGACCTTCCATCGAAACAGCTGTCGAATTAACCATACACGTCATTGTGATAGCCAAGTTGACGTTCATGTATGTTGAATTGAATAAACCGATCATACATAGTACCAGTAAATGAAGACGTCGAGAAAATGGATGAAATAGAGCTGAAAATGTCTTTTTTTGAATGAAAATAATTGAGACGCATGGCAAGGTAACACTCACGGAAGCGTTGCGTTTGGCTCATCGGAAACGGGTGCCCAGAAATGGCCGAAGTCTAATGATAAGCGGCGAGCAAGCGGTTTTTGGATTAAGATAACAGGCTTGATTAGTCGGTTGCGCTCTATGACGCCATTTATAAAGTTAAGACTTTATTCTGTGTAGATAAATATCGATGTACATTCCTGACGATAATTCTGCCTACATAAAAAGCCATATATTTGCTTGCGTGCTTTTGAGTAGGTTTGACTACGTTCGAGATCACGTGGAGAAGCACCTGGAGAGGTCGAGTCGACTTTCAAATGGGTACGACATAGGCTGAGATGGGCAGAGTACGTGCAAGTCATGAAGTGCTCACCTTACGAGCTTCCCTTAGCATGCAGAGCGGGGATTGCACCAAAATGGATTATGAGAAGGGAAACTACCTACCTCACCTTTCTAACAGCCCACTTGACGCGAAGAAGCGGGCAAAACTGAAAGCCGAGTTCACGCTTGAAGGTAAATACACCTACAGCAGGGGCAAGGACAAGGACTGCAGTGTATTAAGTATAATATTTCTGAAATGAACGGACAAGTGAAAACAAACATGGCTTCTTAGCGGGTGCATGATTCTCTGAGCAGGAGGGGCTTACTGTAATGATTCCTAGCTCTCCTTAGGAGCCCGAGAAAAAGATAGATAAAGGAAAGATGAACAAATGAGGCTGTCGTGATCTAGTGTTTGTGAGGGCAGACATGGTAGACAATGTTTGCAGTAGACGCACTAGAAAGTTAGCTAGAGGTCATTGAATGATCACGATATGCAGAACAGGCAACTATAATGTCTGAGTCAGAAGTAATTCCCATAATAACATTATGGGACAACCTGACTATAGAGAAGGTATCAGAAAGAAGTAAAGAAGAAGTAGGAAGTAAAGAGGCGAGCGCACTTCTACGTAGGAACAAGTGGTCATCCATCTTCGGACATTCAGACTAGCTACAACGTTCCGAACCCCAAGATCCGAAAAAGAACAAGGGGTAGAGGTGTCACACGCTAGTAAAAACTGCCCAGAGTCCATCTAAGAATCGGTGTATGGTCCTGAGGTTACTTGGCAGCTAAAGAAGATAGCAGAAGCTTCGAGAACGAAAAGCGACGAGCTTTTCGCCAAGTCGGGTCAAAGTAAAAAAAAATCAATGATTCAATCCAGTTTACAATTGGAAATTGGTTAAAGTTAATGAAAAGATTGGACAATGATCGAGTCCCCCTTTCTTTTGGCTTGAGCTTGGACTTATCGAGTGCTAGCTTATAATTCCTAAAACTAGAAGCATTACTGACGATGAGCCAACGTTTCCACTTCTCGGAATTCGTCAGAGGACGGTAGTCGAAAGGCCAGTTTAATTCACATTAATCCACTTCACATTAATCCACTTCTTTGAAATACTTAAAACATTCTTCGACCTAAAAGACCCCTGGACTCGATCAAAACAAGGGTGCTAAATGGCTTTCCTTGCCCTCAAACGCCAGAGAGCTAGATCGACCACCCAGCAATGAATTTCGTGCAGCGGTGTTAAAACCATGCCAATGTACTCATCCCCAAAACTATAAGGACTGATCTTATTGAGCACCTGCAACATAAATCAAATTTCAACTGATCTTCGCGATCGCAAGGCACCATATCAGTCATGCTTCTGATATGAAGGTTGCACATTAGAAGTGGCAGCCGAATTTGCCAGGCTCAAACTCTTCACCCAACCTTCTTTGTATGATGGTGCTGACCTTATCAGAGGTGAGTGGCAGCACAAAGGAAGTCTTGATGTCAATCAGGGTACCAGCATGACTACCGATGGCATCATAGGTAGAAACTTCATGAGCGCTAGTAAAAATTACCAGACATCCAACTAGAATATCTATTAGGTTGATGCATAATTATTGCGGATTTTTTCGCGGCTCTTTTTCTCTTAAAAGAATTTGACTTTCGAATTCGGGTTTTTTTAGAAATGATCTACTTGATTTCTTCTACAAGAGTATACTTAAGAGTCCATCCGCATATCCGCGAAATTAGGCTTTACTACTTCGAGAAAGATTGGAAGGTGGCGCACTCATTCCGCGATCTCAGTAACTTTTCGGCGATGGAACAATCAGCCAAAGTCAACCAAGAAATGGGATCTGCCCCTAAATCTGCCATATTCACCAGCAGAAACTTTTATGGATTATCTCGTCAACCGTTCATCGAAAAAATGGCCTGAGAATAGGAGTTACGTCGATTTGGATGACTTGATGGCCGATGTCAAGGCGTGGATTGCCCGTAATGATCAAAACTTCTTCGCTTTTGGTATCCGACTAACTA